GGGACCATCTCCTGCAGGAAGGCGACGACGAAAGCTCTGCCGCCGTGAAGCTGGCGATTCCCCTGCGCTTCTACGAAACCCAGTTCAGCCACCTTTATGTAAGTTCAGCTCCCTCCAGGAGCGCGACTCGGCACATTCCTCGCAGCTTCCTCCCAGGGACTAATACAGTGTCAGTCCCGCCGAAACCCTGTCTTCGAAGGGAAGGAAATGGTCCCCACGCCCGGCTGTCCCCTAGCGCCCCTGGGGTGGGACCTGACTCTGCACCGCGCTATTGCCCGGCGGGTTTCTGGGGGAAGAAAGACTAGTTCGCAACCACACGCGCGTCCGAGGGAGAAGAGATGGTGGGGTCGCCAAGGCGCCCAGTGGGGCTCACAGCGAGGACCGCGAGAAGGCTGTGCCCGTCTGCAGAGCTGGCGTGTTTACTCCTTCCACCCAGGGGCTTCCTCCCCAGGGACTGGGGCTCCGGCGTTGCGTGGGGACTGAGGAGATGGGTGATCGCGTTTGGGGCGTCTGGACCTACTGCCCACGCGGTGGGGTACCGCAGAGGTGGGACGGGGCTGAGTGGTGCTGGTCTTCCTGAACCCGGACTCCCAGGCGGTGGGGCAGAGGAGCTGCCAGAGCAGTCCCCTCCTCTCCTCTCGGGATGAGGCGGGCTCGTGTCCGGACCCGTGGTGCCCAGCGAGTCACCTTTTTGTCCCTCTCTTTTCTCAGGTGGGCACCAACGGCATCATCTCCACGCAGGACTTCCCCAGGGAGACTCAGTATGTGGACGACGATTTCCCTACGGACTTCCCGGCCATCGCCCCCTTCCTGGCCGACATCGACACCAGCCACGGCAGGGGCCGGGTCTTGTACCGCCAGGACACCTCCCGGGCAGTGCTGGGCCTGGCCGCCCTGTACGTGCGCGCAGGTTTCCCGAGCTCCGCGGCGCGCTTCGCCCCCACCCACGCCTTCCTAGCCACCTGGGAGCAGGTGGGCGCCTACGAGGAGGTCACGCGAGGGGCGCAGCCCTCGGGAGAGGTAAGTAATGGGGATGTTCGGCTGCTGAGGAATTGGGCATGGGCTTGAAATCTGGGCTGCAACCCAGGGACTGGCGCTGCACTGGAAGTATCTTTTGGTGGCACCGGGGCGGAAGAGGCTGGGTAGTGAAGAAGGACGCGGTTTCTGGGCTTCTGCTGTGCCTCTGAGGGGTGGGAAACTGCGTAGGAGACACGTGGGCTGGAGTGCAGATGTGGAAGTCCCTCGGAACACAAGGCAGCTTAGTGTTTAGATGCTTACTTTAAAACCACTTCTAAGTACACAAGTATTTCTTTTTTCTTTCTCTCTTTTTTAAAGAGTGATTTTTGCTATAGGGCATGTGCTCTCCCCGGAGAGACAGAGAGACGGAAAGTGAGAGATCACCCTGAGGGTGGAGGGGATGGCCACACCACAATTCCTTTTCCATTCTTCTCTGGGGATATTGGGCATGCAGGCGCACGCGTGAGTTTTAAGCCACTGGGTCCCAGTCTCCAACCACTGTCAACTTCGTGGGAGTCCAGTGACATAACCATTATGCCATCTGCTAGTCCCAAGTATACAAGTATTTCTAACTGAAGGAAAAATTAGATGATACAGGGAATTTGAAAAGAATCATCACTCATTTTCCTACCACTGGTAAACATTTTCATGTGTTTGCATTCCAGAGTTGTATTCTTATGCGTATCTCTAATAACAGTCCGATTCACACTGCACAAACTTGTTTTATAACTTGCTTTTTTTTCCCCACTGAGTAGTATATCATGAATATGTATATTGTGAAAATACAAAATCAATAAATGTGTTTCGGCTGGCACTGTGGCCTAATAGTTAAGAAAGCTGGATCCTACATGGCTAACCATGTGGTTCCAATCCCTTCCTAAAGATTTGAAAAACATTTTGGGCATGTGTGCATCTGTCCCACATCCCAATCTGATGGAGGAATGGAAGAGAAGGGACTGGAACTGAGACCATGCCCCATCAGGGAGTGCTTTGTCCCTGTTTCTGGTGAGCCTCTGCACCCTCTGGGAAATAAAAAGTTAAATACATAAATGTATTTCAACAACTTGACTTATAATATTGCTTCCAGTGGATTTACCATAGTTTACTCAACCTATGTTCCCAGTAAGGTTATTTGCAATTTTTAAAATTATCAACAATACCATAAAGCACTTTTTAAAAAGTTAAATCTTTGTACATGTCTTTAGTTGACATTCCAGGAAGTGCAACTGGTAGGCCAGAAAGGATTTCTTTTTATGAAGTTCTTTATAGCTTTTGCCAAATGGCCCTCCAGGTACTAGTTTACATGTTCCTAGATTTAGAGGAGACTGTCCTCCATGTGTTTTACAGAATCTATCTGGAGAAAGTAAAACAACCCAGGCTCCTAGTCTTTAAGCTTGGCAGCCACTTTCAAAGTACTTTAAATGGATACTGAGTTTAAAATGTCACATTGCAAAGGTGAAATGATATGACTTATCTCAATTTTAACTCATCAAAGAGTTCCTTAGCTACAGAGAGATGGTGCATATCTTTCCGAAGAGGCTAAGTTGCTTGCACATTCACACTGAAGAGTTCTAGATGGTGGCCATTCTTATTCTGTGTTTCCAGAGTAAGAATACTTAAAAAATTTTTTTTAATTGCTGGAGGGCATGTGTGCTTGCTGGAGAGAGTGAGAAAGCACCTCCATGATGGGCATGGTCATACTGTAATCCTATTTTCTCCATTTCTCTATCCCACCAGGCTCCTTGGCACCCTTAAATATATGCTTGCACATGCACTTGGCATGTCTTTCAAGCCCCCAGGTAAGGACTCAAGCTGCTGTCAGCCATGTAGGATCTGGCTCACTGCACAGAGCTTACTAGTGCACTATGGGGCTGGCCTAGCAGGATATTTCTTAAAACTTACACTGGACAAAGAAGATCTAGAAATAAAAATCATTCGAATGGGGCCAGCTGGTGGCATAGTGGTTAAGGTGCCAAACTCCCACATCACAACTGTGGTCTGAGTCCTGAACCTGGCAGCTTGAAAATCATACAGGCACATGTGCATGCATGCCTAAGATTCCAGGAGGAGAATAGAGGAGAAGGGCTTGAGCTATGGCCATCCCCCCTGAGGGGTGATTTCTCAATTTTCCTCTCACTGTCTCTATCTTGTGAGGAGTACACATGCCCTGTGGCAAAAACCTAGGAAAAAAAATTTGAACTTACCCTTTTTTTTGGTCATTTAGTATTTTTGGCCAAGCAACAACTAGTTTTGTGTATAGAAGAACTTCGCAAATGCATAAATGAGAGATCTCAACTCTAATTCAACAAAATCCATTCAATTCAGTCAAACATTTGAGCACTTTCTTTGTGCAGGGCACTGGGTCAGGTGGAGGATGGAAGAGAACACAGAACAAGGAAGGCAAAGCTCTCACCATTATGTTGCATTCTTTCCTTCCTTCTTTCATTCATTTGTTTTTGTTTTGAAGTTTAAAAATACTTACTTAAAGGTCCTTATCATATGTTGGTAATAAAAAGTCTATAAAATAGAAACTATGGAAATAAACACTATTTGTAATTCCATTAACCGTAGGTCACTGCAGCTCTGACTTTATTTCCTTATAATCTTTTTTTGAAACAACTTTATTATATAAGGCACATTTATATATGTATGCCTATAAATCATTTATATTTAAATGTGGTTAAGATTTATTCATCTCACGCCGGGCACGTGTGTGTGCATGCCCAAGATCCCGAGAGGAGAATGGAGGAGAAGGGATTGCGGCGTGACCATCCCCCCTAGGGGGTGATTTCTCGCTTTCTGTCTCTATGTCTCTCTCTGTCTGTCTGGCGAGCGCATGTGCCCTATAGTGAAAACCTCTAAAAAAAAAAATTATTCATCCAAGGAACCAATTTTGTACAGTGATTATGTCAGTACTGGGATAGACACTGTGAGAGGACATACTCATATCCCCGAGGACCTCATAGTTTAGTAGAGATGTTGATTATTTTTCATTATGATAAATATCTCTTGACTTGAGTCTAGCCTTAACCCTTCCTGTTTAGGGGATTCCATCTGGGGAGATTTCAGTGAGAAAGTAACTTTGAATCTGAGTTGAGTGGAACATTCCTGGTAGAAGGGGTAGCATGACATAGTGCTCATGTACTGTAAAGTATAATATGTTTGGAAAGTGCATGCAATGCATTATTACTAAAGAAATATGAGGTCACGGGGTGAAGGCCACGGTCCGTGAGAAGTTTGGACTTGATTCCTCGGTAGCCTTTGAAGGATCTTAAGCAGGGAATCTGTGTTTTTGTTTTGTTATGATTTTGGAGCCGCCGCGGTCCCTTCTCCTCCATTTTCCTCCTGGGATTTTGGGCACATACACACCTATTCCTGGCATGACTTTGAAGCTGCCAGGTCTGGGACTTGAACTACAAGTTCAAGTCGGCCCACAGTCAACCATGTAGGAATCCCGGCACCTTAACTATCACACTACCCACGGGCCTATTTCATGAGTGAGAGAGACAGAGAGAGACAGATGTCCTCAACAGGTTCCCACGCAGAGGTCCACCCCATCCACAGCCAGCCCCAAATCACAGGCATGTGTGTGCCTTACGTGCTCAGGAAGATCTCTGGACACAAACTCAGAACCTTCCCACGTGGGTCAGCCTCACAGAGCACTGTGCCACTGTCCAGTCTCCTGTTTATTTATTTATTTTTTCCTTTTCTCTCTCTCTTTTTTTTCCCCCCCATATGGCACAGGTGCTTGCTGGAGAGAGACAGAGAAAGTGAAAGTGAGAAATCACCCCCCAGGGGGGATGGTCACACTGCAATCCCTTCTCCATTCTCCTCCTGGAAGTTTGGGCATGCACACGCCCCCACCCAGTGTGATTTTCAAGCTGCCAGGTCCCAGACTCTAATGTGATAGGCCATATGGGAGTTCAGTGTCTTAACCACCATGCTACCTTTTGGCCCCTTGCTTTTATTTTTTAAGGAGTGCTCTCTTTGTGTTGAGAAGGTGAGGGCACAAAGGAAAGACCGACTGCTTCGATTATATGATGTTTATTTAAGCTAGCTTGTTAAATTAGATAATGTCTTATCATACTCTCTTTCCATCACAGTCTTACAAGATAAATACAAGAACAACTGCTTGCATATCAGGGATAATGACAAATAGAAGCTAAAGTAATTGTCTGGAATTCTGCTTTTAGTAAGACAAAGCCAGATTTAGAATACAGATATTTTTATTCTTCGTTTGTTTCTCCTTTTACATATACCCAGACTTTTCACACAAGACCCATTTTCTTGGCACAAGTGATATAGGGAGATACAACATAGTTGGCCTTTCTGCAAACTTCTAGTTAATAAGACTTAATTATTTTGTTGTGATGTGATCTTAGTACAAGCAGAGTCCTGAGAACCATATTTCATTTAAATGGAGAATGAATTTAGACTAAAAGCTGCTATGAAGGACACTTTCAATGCCAATATGCCTTCCCAATTAGTCTCCCAATGCTCTGGGAAGAAATTAGTGGTGTCTATTCAATTGTACAACACAGAAAAGAAAGACAAAGTTGAGTGAGAGATAAGCAGATGGACATTGGACAGAAGCTCTGGGTTATGAAGTCATACAAGAGCTTTAAGATTTCCATTTTGTTGGAGCTTATTTGAAACAAAAATGACAATACAGACAAGATGACTTTGCTAATTATTTTTCTCAATTTCATTTGTAGCACAAAAATATTTTTTTCTGTTAACCAGTCTTTCAGGGTGGTTGTAAAGACATCAATAAAGATTAAAGACATTTGAAAGAAATGGTTTTAAAATATTATGCACTGACTTCAGAAGCAATGACCTAGTCTCAGTCTTATTTCCTAATCTGTAAAATGGGGTAACAATGCCTACTTTACAGGATTATTGTGAGGAGTAACTGAGGTGAATTTTTGTTTCTTTTTAGATTTTTGCCATAGGGTACATGTGCTCCCTGGAGAGAGACAGGAAAAGAGAGAGAGAAAGTGAGG